GTAAAAAATCCAGCTCTTAAGTTGTCACTTAGGGTTTCCATGCAACCAGCGTAGACATTACATTACATGTCACTTGTTAGACACTTTTATCCAAAGCAACTTACATACTCAATACTGTGGACAATCCCCACAGGAGCACTTTGTGGTGAAGTGTCTCAGGGACACAACGACATGCTGACTGCAGTGGGGTTTGAACCTGTGACCCCCTGATCCAAACACCAACGCACAACCCACTGCACCACAAGACATCAGGGTATAACATATGTATTAGTTCTCTTTAGAGGCGCTTGAGGACCGATTTTCTGAATCTATTTGAAACAGTTTCCTCCTGTTTTCAGTCTTTATCCTGAGCTAAACGAAATGTCTCTTTCTCCATCAATGATAAGTCCTTGCAAGAAAAGTGATTAGCACAGGTCCGACAATTCAAGACAACTGGCTAACTTAAAAAACAGTCTTTATCCATTAACCTCCATTCAAAACCCATCTTGGGCTTAATCTAAAACAAGTCAAATCTTGTGTTACTAAAAAAAACATATCATATTCTATTTACAGGTATATAGGCGTTTATACTACTTTTTATTTTGTATTTTTGTATTTATTATATATGTTGAATTGTTGGAGCAGCTCAGGTCATAAGATTTCCATTGCCATTTCTACACCGTAGCTTTGTGCATAAGACAATAAAACATTTGAATCTTGAAAAGAAAAGGTCATCTAGCTGCCAACAAGTGTGCAGAGCCTCATGGCAGAAGGTTATTTTAGATTTAGAAATATTTAATCCTGTTTCATAACAATTGGGTATAATGAAGATAGTTGGCATGAATTATTTTTGATTTAGAAAAACTCTTCCTTACAGTCCATGTGCACGAGCAGCTTTTGTTACATAAACCTGAATGGAGGAAACCTGCAGCCAACAGGAGCTTGTGACATTCTGTCTGAGTGTTTTTCTGAATTTGAAGCCGCGTGTTAGGTAGTATTAATAGTTGCCCGGTAAACATATCTCTCAACACGTTCCTCTTTACAGCACTGTGACCTTGTTTCCTCATTTATCACCCTGTCCTGTCCCGTCTCTCCTGTCCACTGACTTCACATTGAATTCAAACCCTCTCTCCCACCCACTCGTCCGACTCCATACCTGCAGTCCTGCCTAAAACTTTTCTCACACTTCTTTTAAATTGGAAAGAAATGGTGTATATCTGCTCCCATGTGAATATCTATACCTTAATCAACCATTGTTTTAAAACATTATAGGTAGAGATGTCCCGATCCGATCACGTGATCGGGGATCGGAGCCGATCACGTTATTTCCAAAAGATCGGAATCGGGAGAAAAAAATCGGGGATCGGGATTTTTTTATTTTTTTTTATTTTTTTTAAATACTTTTTTTTAATTTTGTATTCAATGTTACAAAACAAAAATGACCATGTTCAAGTCTTAAAGTCATCCTGAGGCCTTAGTTTTGGTTTCAAATTACACAACATCATGTATGTGTTGCTTCTTTGGGGCTTGTTTTCATAGACCTATTTCTCTCAAATCTGGCAACAGAGTGGGCAGGGCGCAGTGTCTAATTGTAGCAGTAAGCTAACGAGTACTGATAAGTTTTATTTTGTTTTGATCCAATGCTGCACAACTGAACTGATCCAATGCTGCTGTGAAAGAAAGAAGCTATATCCATGTTGGATAGAATATCCAATTTAAATAAAAAAATAACCTTAAGGGACAATTTGAATGCTTTTTTTCTTTTTTTTCTCTAAATGCATTGCATAAAGGTCGGATCGGGAAAAATCGGTATCGGCAAATTGCCAAAATCAAATGATCGGAATCGGATCGGGAGCAAAAAAAGGTGATCGGGACATCCCTAATTATAGGCGTGATGACGGGTATAAAATGTATTTGGTGTGGCCTTCCAGGTGGCCATATCTTTTTGTAAAGTTAGAGTTCGATGTTGTGTCACAATAGTTTGAAGCTGCTCTGACCTTCATCTCTGTTTATATGTCAAGAGTGTTTACATTAACACAATTCAATACACTGTTTGTGAGTAGTATTTGTGAAACATTGGCATCAAATAGTTCTTGCTAATTCATTGTCCTTGAATGGATATTCCTTTCATCCCAAGGTTAGGGAAGTTTGGGTGCTAAGTGGACATGGTACATTTATTTAGTAATTCTTGGCAAGACTACAGACAATACATATATATTTATATTTTTTTTCTCTTCAAAGACAATAACCCAATAATCTACTATCCAGTAATCAATTATCTATGACTGGAAGTACCTAACCTCTGATATGTCCTGCCTCATGTTGACCTTAATGAAAAAAAACACTCTACTATTTCCACATGTCAGCTGCCATCAATGGCGGCCAAAGTCAGAGCAGAGTGGAATGATGAACTTAGACCAGCAGGATTCATTGTGTCAAGCTGAAGTGAAATGTGGCCTGTGTGCAAACAAGCCCCAAATAGATCAAGACAAAGCCACCACTAATCAATACACTAACATGAGGTTATCTAGTATTCCAAAGTAAACAACTGGACTAGACATGTGCTACGGTCATTTAATGTCTCATCAGGCTTTGTCCCTGCGGCTGCATTGGTGTTGCTGTCCTGCGTTGTGACTGTCTCCTTCATTATCATTGGGGGTGTGAGAGGGATGACTTCACTGTTATGGTCCATGTCTGCTGAGGCTAAGCGGGAACCTGGCCCCTGCCTGCTTCTGCCTGGCAGAGGGTCATTTCAGCAATGCACAATGCACTATTCAAGGCCAGTCTAGTAAAATATTGATCGCAACAATGTGCTGACAAAAGGGACATTCTACAATGAGAACAATGGCAAGGGCAGAGCTCTGTATTCTGATATCCTGCTTACCTATATTTAGGTGTAGTGCTTTAATGCAATGGTACTGTGTGTGCAGTGTGCACCAGAAGCATGTGTGTATAGTTGGGATTAGTTTATCTAATTAGACAGGTTTAATATGCATCACTTTTTGTGAACATGCTAGTGCATCATGTATTAACATTAAGAAACACTCATTTACTCAATCACATCAGATGTGTAAATCTGAAGCAGTGTAAGGCTTGGAAGAGACTCAGACTCACTCCACCCCAGCATCCACCTGTATGCTCGGGGGTGGAAGTTATTAAATCATCACTCCTTAATATTCTCTGTAAATATATCTGTGAGGGGGCTAAAGCCCATACGCCAAACTCTAACTATATTACTCTATACAGTATGCTGCTGTTAATAAACATTTCAAATGTGAGTTGTCTGACTGAACTGTTTGTGACATTAAGTGACACTGCCCCCCCCCAGGGGTTATTTCACTCATGCAATTAAGAGGCAGTTGATTGTAGATCTGCTCCAGTTGTTAGCCAGAGGGACTTGTGTTAACCTTGTCACCGCAGTGAGTGCACGTGCTCCCACTGGATTCTCTTATCCTCCTCTCATCTCCCTCATGACTTTGTTTGCTTATTAGTGAGCAGGGTCCTTTACAAGACGTCATCGTGCCCTTGGATTCAAACTGTAACACGATTACAGACCTCACTGACCAGATCGCATCCTTTTAGTGTGATGTTTTGTTGGGAGTAGGCTTGACCCAAATGCGTTACTTTCAAAATAAACAAACCTGATAGGATTTCAGTATTTCTTCAGTATCACGCTATCTCTGATTTGAAAATTGAGTCAGGAAAAAAAACTAGCATCCATGGTGGTTCAGTGAAGTAAGAGTGGAACTGATGATGCTGATGATGAGGTGAACATTTAACTGGATTAGCTCTAAATAAAAAAGAAGGTATACATCAAAAAGAATCTTAAAGCATTGCAAGATCCCTTTTTGGTTACACTACAACAAGAATGTAGTCCACTTAGCCTACTAACAGATGGAGATTTGCATATCTATTTAAAAATGGTTTAGTCCGATTTGTTGGACTCGGTGTTCGGACCACGTTGAATGAAATGTTTTGTAAATCACAGCAGCAATTCAGCAATCTTACCATTCCTTCACAAAACACCCACACACACTTACACACTCACAGGCACAGTCATATAACACACACATGTTCACACACACTTCACCAGCCATTTTGTATTTCAACTTTACTTCTATACAGGCGGTCTTATAAAAAAGTATTAGAAATCATCCCACACGCTCACTTTACCTCCTTCACATGTTACATCATCTCTCATGCCACATTTCTTTTATCTCTTTACGCTTCCAGCTAATCTATTAAAGAAGGATGACCAGAAGTAGTTCACTTCCTTTATACGTTTAATCATTTCTTAGATCTGTGATATCTGATGCAACGCAACACTTAAGGTCTGAATATCAATCCAAGAGTTAAACAAAAAAGAAAACAACAAATTCAAACGGATCAGTTTTTTAGAGTTGCCGTTCGACTAGGATCCATATACAACTTAGGAAAGTTTCAAAGCTCGCACAAAAGAATCAAAGCCCCAACCAAAGCTGTGATGTCAGCAGAGGGGTCTGTCTGCACGGTGATAGGCTCAGAGACGCCAGCTTAAGGAGCAAGTTGTTGTGAGCAGTCAAGCTTCCTCTTTGCTGCGGGGGATTTTAGTCAGATGGCGGCTGAGGGATCCTGGTGTGCTGTGAGAAATTTCACTGAATGTCATGGTGGTCCCGTTTAATACTCACTTCCTCTCTCCCGCTTCCCTCTGACATTTCACTGCACACATACACGCATATTATCATTGTCAGAAGACCACCTTACACATCCAACATACAATACATGTGGCAGAAGATGCAGGCTGCCTTCAAATCCATACCACCCCTGTTTTTCTTTACAAGCTTGCAGTAAAAAGTGTTCCTCACATAACAGAAGAGTGATATTTATTTGTATTCATATATGTATCTATCAATATCTCAGTTTTAAAATGAGGCCTAAAGTCCTACTCTCATGGTCATAGCCACTGCTGGAGTGCAAAATATCACAAATCACTGCCACCTCCTTGCTGCATAATGTGAATTGAATTCTCTCTGTTTTGACAGAAACCTTGGGAAGTCGGGCCTGCGGGTGTCCTGCCTTGGATTAGGTAAGAGTCTTTTCGGATGTTGACACACACTGAGAAGCTTGCTGCATAACCAAATACTTCAACAGATTCAACAAACATGTGTCTTTGCAGAAATGGCTTGTTTGTTCTACACTATTTCCAGAGAATATAGTATTACTGTTCACTTGCTCTTCTGTGTGTACATGTGATTCTGTACTTACACTCTGACCCCACCTCCCTGTCGACCTCTGTAGGAACATGGGTGACATTCGGCGGACAGATAACAGATGAGGTGAGAGCAGATGGATTTTGTCATCCTCAATCAGTCAAAGCTGGAATGGAAACCCTCCACATGATCTGGCATATCCTTCGTTGCTCGAGAAGCCTATTTTTACTTATAGTTGAAACATACTGCCATAGCGAGTCAATAGCCAGAGGATAAACACATGCTATAGGAAGGCAAAGCTTTTCAGCCTTCTTTTAGTCTTTAAAGGAAATTCTTACACCTCATATTGGTGGTATCTCACCCCATCCTTTCCTTCTCCCCTGATCTCTCAACAGATGGCAGAGCAGCTACTGACTCTGGCCTATGAAAATGGCATCAATCTGTTTGACACAGCGGAGGTATACGCTGCTGGGAAGTAAGTATATCCTGTCCCACAGTTCACATAGCAACAACATGTACTGGACTGCCCACACCAAACATGCTAATGAGAACTACAAATATACTGATGTGAGCATCCATACAAATTACTCTCTGTAAACATTAGCATGAGCTGAAGGCACAAAACCGAAAATCGTCGTTGATGACCTGGTACTACTGTAGGTTGTGCAGAGAGAAAAAAAAAGCAAGATCAGAAAATGAATAATTGATTTTCGACCTAGTATTAAGGTTTATTTTCATCAACACTACAGTATGTCGTTGTTGCCTTCATGACGGTTCAGACATTCATAGTCTCTGTCTCTATTTACAGGACAGCCACTGTTGATATGTTTAACCTCGGAAAGCCGCCTTGCACTGCCTTATTGCTATATGTAGTGATGGTTTATATTCCAACATGGATTAATCTGGCTTTGTAGTAATTTGGGTGCTTTGAAATAATCTAAGGGATTATCGTTTGCGAACAGTATCTCTGATTAACAGCAGCATGTCATATTTGAATCCTTCCAAGAATAGCCTAGTTTGGCTGTTATGTTTGGGTAGACGCATCAGAGTGTCTCACAAAAGTAAATTAAAAGAAAACAAAAAGACAATCATGCAGTAAGTCTTAGCGATTTTCTCATCAAATGCAGCTGCTGTCTGCTAAATGTCACCAGTACATGCTTTATTGTTCGGGGGGGGGGGCTTTCAACAACATGTTTGCCTTGGTGTTTTAGGAGGTGGGTCAGAAAAACTTTGACACAGAAGGTTTACCGCCTGTGACTTTGATCATCGCGCGTCAATAACACAAACCACAGTTTGACAGAAAGGACAAATCCGTTAGACACGTGCAAATGTTTGTGATACCATGTCACACGGCTCCATATGTGTTGCACAGGTGTTAATCCTGACAGCTTCCACTGCGCTGAGGAGCTTATATTACACACAAACCCAGGAGTAAAACAAATCACACAATTTACACTTCAGAATGAAAAAAAAAAGCTTTCATGTGAAGTCCTTGGTGCGACTGTGGTTCCTTTATCAGTAAGACTTAGAGAACGTGAAGTGGTGCTGGTGGCTGTGCAGTCAGCAGCTGTAATGTTGGTTATGTGTTGCGAGCGTGGACAGATAAACAAGGTCTGTAAGCTGTGCTCACACTTCTCGTTTGGCTGATGCCATGTTTGTTCTGGCTTGGCCCAACAAAACAGAGAAACTGTCACAAAATAAACATTCAGCACATACACATGTTTATATATTGATTGGTATTCTAAACCAGCGTATCAGTCCCAATATGCAGTATGTTGTGTTTCTCGGAAATATAAATAAAAGTAGTAATTGCATAAACAAACATGTTTTGCGTGTCCCGCTGAGATGCTGTTATCAGCAAAGACATATGGCGTGAAAGCATTTAAAGTATGCGACTAATTGGCAGAACAGAATTTCCTTCTTCATTTCTTTTAAGGCTTAGACATTTCGACTAGATGCACATTAATTGCATGATATTGTGTGAAACCACTGACAATAAAGTATATTGTAAACGCATGAATAATGCAGCATTGTGTCATTGGCTTCTGCCTTCAGTCATACTGTAATATCAACTCGGTGCTGGAATAAATAGCTAATTAATAGATGGGTGTGTGGGTGTTTGCCAGCGACACACACACACACGTGCACACTCACACACACAATATTGCTCTCAGGTGAAAATCTTGAGTGCTTGTTGGTTAAAAATTGTTTTGGGCCCAGCTGCCAGGGTCTGAAACAGCTGGTAATTGTTCAGCACTTAAATAAATAAAAAACACACATGCAACGTTTTACTACTATAGCACATATATTAACAATTTTATCATTTTCCCTTCAAACTTTTTTTGCCCTCATTATAACATTCCGAAAATGTGAAAGCTTTCTAAATAAACGTCAACTTCAAATGAACTATTAGAGCTAACTGTCTTTGTATCTATCTCCAGGGCAACTTGCCCGCTAACCAGACCAGGGTTGCAACTTACAATTAATGAATGTATATTGTTTAGTAAACTATTGTGAAATGTTCATCACTGTTTCTGGGCAAGGCAGAGGGATCTGCTTAAAAGATATATTACCTATTTATTAAAATAGGTGGCAGGATTTTCCTTTAAAATTGTGTTATCTACTGTAGCAATCCAGTCCAAGTATCATTTGTACACGTGATCGTATTTCACAAATACTTTGTATTTGGTATTTAACCGACCCTATAAATGAGGATCTGATTACTAGAACCACCACATATACTATCTCTGCACAGACACACTCCCACTGGCAGGAGCACTAACAGATCATAGGTGAAATACATTGTAGCCTTTCCACACTTCTAACAACAAAAACATTTATTTGAAAACTGCAGCTGGCTTTTTTAATCAGTGAATCCAAATTGAACCCTCCTAAGGAGAACCTACATTAAATAAATGTTATGAGACAGTGCTTAAGGGGGTGTCTTGTTATTGGTCGTAGTTAGAGGACTGGAAGGACTGACAGGTTTCAGCCCGGCCCTGATAGGCCACATGTTGATGTTAATGTCACTCATTAGCACCCTGTGGCTGCTAATGAGTGACATACAGTATTGGTGGCCCCACAGCACACACCCACACCCTTTATGCATTATACAGTATGTTTGCAAAGTTGGACTGCTGTCTTTGATTTAAAATCATCCCTCATGCCGTCAGGATTAAACGCTCTTATCATTTGAAAGCTATCTTTATTCAATCTTCTCTCTGTCTGCTTCACAGGGCAGAGGTGGTGCTCGGAAACATCATAAAAAAGAAAGGATGGAGGTATGAGACACACTCATATTGAGTCTTTTTTTCATTTCCGTTCCAGCCAGCCTCCCTAATCTCATACCATCCACTTCCTTGCACATATTGGGAGGCTGTGTTTTGCAAATTGAAACTGTAAGGTAAGAAGATGAAAGATTAATGCGGGCAGCCTTGCCATGCCCACTCTCCTGTGTCCCCCCCTCAAAGCTGAATAATGGATGAACTGTTAGTGCCTTGTCCTCTACCTTTTCAGTCCTGGATTGACATTTGTATAGAGCTCTGTGAAGTTATATACCTACCAACACTCATTAGTTGCCAAGTTCTGGCACAATCGCATTTATTGTGGGAGGTGAGTGACACTGATAGAATAGAAAGAAATGCATGATTGCCTAAAGGAGGTGTCAGAGCTTTTCATCTTAGCTGTTTAATACATGTAATATAAGGTGGGCTGCATTGTCCTGCTTGGCTAAATAACAAAGCTAATGTTAGCTAAGCAAGCTAGGTTCGATTAAGTAACATAATGATGCTTACCCGCTCTATTCAGTAAAAGACACATTTTCAATATTATCATGATGTGTAATCTTATTAAATGTATTTGTTGCTAATACATGTATAAATACAGTTGGTTCAATGAGATGTTTTCACAGTCAAATTAAATACACTGAACAAAAATATAAATGCAACACTTTTGTTTTTCTGCTCCCACTTTTCATGAGATGAACTCAAAGATCTAAAACATTTTCTATATACACAAAATAACCATTTGTCTCAATATTGTTCACAAATCTGAAAAAATCTGTGATAGTGAGCACTTCTCCTTTGCCGAGATAATCCATCCCACCTCACAGGTGTGGCATATCAAGATGCTGATTAGACAGCATGATTATTGCACAGGTGTGCCTTAGGCTGGCCACAATAAAAGGCCACTCTGAAACGTGCAGTTTTGCTTTATTGGGGGGGTCTGGGGGGGGTCCGAAAACCAGTCAGGTTTAACCCTAACCCTAACCCTAACATGTCACCCATTGAGCATGTTTGGGATGCTCTGGATCGGCGTATACGACAGCGTGTTCCAGTTCCTGCCAATATCCAGCAACTTCGCACAGCCTCAGGGTTTGGGGGGGTCCGAAAACCAGTCAGTATCTGGTGTGACCACCATTTGCCTCACGCAGTGCAACACATCTTCTTCGCATAGAGTTGATCAGGTTGTTGATTGTGGCCTGTGGAATGTTGGTCCACTCCTCTTCAATGGCTGTGCGAAGTTGCTGGATATTGGCAGGAACTGGAACACGCTGTCGTATACGCCGATCCAGAGCATCCCAAACATGCTCAATGGGTGACATGTAGGGTTAGGGTTAGGGTTTAACCCAGGGTTTTTCAAAACTGCACGTTTCAGAGTGGCCTTTTATTGTGGCCAGCCTAAGGCACACCTGTGCAATAATCATGCTGTCTAATCAGCATCTTGATATGCCACACCTGTGAGGTGGGATGGATTATCTCGGCAAAGGAGAAGTGCTCACTATCACAGATTTTTTCAGATTTGTGAACAATATTTGAGAGAAACGGTTATTTTGTGTATATAGAAAAATGTTTAGATCTTTGAGTTCATCTCATGAAAAATGGGAGCAAAAACAAAAGTGTTGCATTTATATTTTTGTTCAGTGTATGTATGATAGATAGATATGTTAATTACCTGAGATAACTCCAATGGTGACATACATCTGGTTTATGGACCTGGTGAAGGCAGAGCTGATGGTGCCCAGGCTGATGAGCAGGCCTCCCACCATCACCACTGAGCGGTGGCCAAAGCGGTTGCTTAGTATCGTGGCGAGGGGGGCTGGTTTGCACAAAAAAAGATATGAGTTGCACAAAACCATGACGTGGCCTCTGACCAATAAATAGTGGACATGTGTATGTGCACAAAATACACCTGGTTACTTAAAGATGACTGGACAACATGTTTACATGCAGCGTAATAACCTGCATATATCAACATTTACATGCAGCAGGTCAGAAGCATATCACACATTTGCAGACTTTCATGCCTTCTTCTCTCTAAGTGTCTTTAATAGCTTGTGCATGGGTAAGGCTGGCGTCACACTTTCCCGAAATTGTCACCAGATGGACACACAAATATGGAATTGTGAATTTCGCACGAAGATGGTCCCGAATTATCCGACATTAGTGTAATAATATGGATGGCTAGGACAAGTGGAAAGGGTATGGCACAAGAGTTGACATACAGTAAATCAATTTTAGATTCGACATACTCTAGCCGACTACGGTTCTTTTCATAATGAACTTAACTCCCAGTTATCTATTGTTCATATAGATGATTTCCGGACAAAGTATAAAGTCTCCTTCTTTAGCGATAGGACACGACATTATTGATATTTTAGTAAAATAAAGGGAGTGCACACACACACACAACACACACCACACACACCACACACACACACACACACACACACCCACACACACACACCACACACACACACACACCTCTATCGGGTCACAAAGAACTGGTCGACCACAAAACAAAGGACTTCAGCTCAAAGGGTACTTTGCAAAAAGAATCTTAAGTCTCCGTCTCATCTGGTACCCTTCCAGACTAAGGTACTTATGTGAACCGAGAGGTGAAAATCCTTTCAATATATAATGTGAAGTTACCACTACAAATTAATTAACATTAACAAAACTTCATTTAAGACACAAAATAGTACAACGTCTGTTTCATGTGGGAAGTTTTAATTGATAAGTTGAGTCATTTTTATGTGTATTGTTTATACTCTTTCTTTTATTTCTTCCGATTTCTCTCCACCGTCCTTACTCCAGATTTTTCCTCCAGTGACTACAGTAGACACAAGAAGGGAGGTCCACCGCACCGACAACGGTACTCACCCGGGCGGATAAGGTCGCGACAAACCCGACCGTTGACAAATGGTCTCCATGGACTACCGCGACCCCCGACCGGACACCGTACCGGAATGAGGAACACCTCCAGACGTCGATGACCCCGGGGACTTCTCGCGACCCACAGAAGGAGGTCCTAGACTACCTTCGTAAACCTCTCTCGTCGTCGGCCAACACGTAACCCAGTAGAGGTAGACGCAAGAAATGAGAAAGTGGAAGTCGACCAGCAATCATAAGAGTGAAGGGCGAGAGTGTGTGCTACCACGCGAAAACTCTTGACATATTTGATTTACGTTTCATGGGAAGTTGAACTATTGTGAACTCTCTGTGTCATTGTGTCACCGTATGTTATACCGTGTGATCATCTAATGCGCTGTTCTTCGGTCTCACTTTTGTGGTGCTCTATCGTCGCGCATATCTCTATCTCTGTCTACCTATCTACTACGCCTAGTGTCTATCCGCTCACTTCGTGCTCTAGTATATTAATTTTTACGTTGTGAAAACAAAAAACGAGCGGAAAAAAGTACTCTACTTGAGTTTCCTAGATTTGTAAAAGATATATGTGTTTTATTGGTAAAGAGAGTATAACAAAGTCGCTTGAGACTTTTTTAGTACTACTTATCACTCGTGAAGAGGAAACGGGGCGTCTCTCTGTCCTCCGACTGTGAAGTCAAAGGAGATGATCTAGCGAGTACCGTATCCGAGTTCTCACGACTATACATATCACTCTGTCGTACTATATATAAACGTAGTCCACACGAATCGACCGTGTATTTTCCGGTGAGACTTTGCACAGTCCAAAAAACGAATACCCGCGCGCGAACTGACGACCCTCCAGTCCTGTGGTGTGATTTCCTATTTCCGAGGGAGGTGGATCGCGGATGATTAATTATCCAGCTCGCAGTAAACTCCAAGATACATTCCTTATAACCCCTGTCTACTGTGTACTCTAGACTGCTCATATGCTAGATTGCGCATCAAGGTCAATGTGTATCGTTAGCACTATGGGTCCTAGTGAGCTGATGTCGGAGTCCCAAACTCTCTCCCAGCGTCTTTTAGAGATCAGTCAATAGTTCGTCCTATTATAGGTATATGACCACATCTGGTGGGTAAGAGACTGGAGTACGCACGTCACACGTATGATGTAGAGACGAGAGCGATTTACTGCGTTATATCTGATCGCAAACTATCTTTATCAGACCGGCACAATACCTGATCAAGACTCAGGTGAGGAGAAAGTTACCGGTAACGCATGTAATCAACGGACCTAATCTGATATAACCGTCCTGGACCTTGTGCGGACAGGCATATGCGGCTAGGTCTCGTTAGGGTTTGTACTGGAGTACCCACTCAGTATCTATATCCCAATCACGACCTTTGGGTGTAACTGCGCCATGAAATACGATTTTGAGACTGTGTAAAAAGTCTGCTACCAAGAGAACAGAAATCATACTACCACGTGGTCGTATGGTCTCGTGTGTGACAAACGTTATTAGTCTACGTCTAGATTTACTCGTCGTAGAAACTAGTACGCGTAGTAGACTACTCCATATCCCTCTGCTGTCTTATATGAGTATGTACATGCCGGTTCCTCTTCAGCAAGGTGTAGAGTAGTGTGCGTGATTGAGATTAAAGTCTCAAAGCAGACACATGATATAATGAGCGAGCTGATACATTGCCCTACAATCAGTAACACCATATTATTATAGTCCCGAAACACCGCACTCCTTGCTTGATACAATGGCAATGAGATCTCTAGAGTACATCGAAGAGTACTGTGGTACCTCGTCTGTTCTATCGCGGAACTGCTCAATATCCTAGTAGAGTAACACGTTACATCTATACATACTTCCTATTTACACATGATTTAATGCCGAAGCGTGAGTGACTAGCTTTGGATCTCTAGCGCACGGTTGACTCACCTGTATGCGCTCAGACCAAATACCTCGGACCTCCGTGTCGCAGTTCTCCGAGCTAGACATCTACGGCTGGGTCCGCACTCTCTCGTCCGGAGCAAGAGTCGCTGTGACAGTGTTTGAAGCAGGCTCCGCGGTGACTACGCCGTTCTAGAAACCGTAACCGGGCTCTCTCGCCGGTTTTTATCGACTTTCTGGAACGCTCCAAGTAAACCGAATCAACACAACTTAAGTAGCACAGGTAACAACCGCGGATACACACGCCTCACAGCGAACCATCTCGCTCCGCTCTCTCCCTCGTCATGATAAACTCATTAAGAAAGAGCGTGATGTTGTACTCGCAGAACACTGGATAGACTGGTTAATATGTCATCACTCGAGTCACTGTACAACGCATACACGTGTTTCTCACTACCGTGGGACTAATGCCCGTGAAAGAGTCGAATATGTGCTCTGTTTTTTCCCTGTTGTACAATTATGTACGTCGTCTTATTGCATATTTCGGCGCTCTATATGTTACGTCGGTAAATGTACCGTTCGTCCGAGTCTTGCGGCGGTAACAGAATCCTCCGGTTGTTATAGTGTGTAAACGGCTGAAGTACGGAAGAAGAGAGATTCACAGAAATATCGTAACACGTCACCCATTCCGACTCGCTAGTGTGAATAGGGCTTGTAAACAGTGGTCCTCTGTGTTGTGTTAGTAACCTGTGAGCTTTTAACACAGCGCCGGCAGCCATCGGTAGCACTCAGTTCATGCACACACCAAGCTCACGGTAGGTACACCGGAGACATCCGTAGCATGAACCGAAGCGACAACGAAGCCGGNCGCCGATCCAGAGCATCCCAAACATGCTCAATGGGTGACATGTTAGGGTTAGGGTTAGGGTTTAACCCTAGGGTTTTCGGACCCCCCCAGACCCCCCCAATAAAGCAAAACTGCACGTTTCAGAGTGGCCTTTTATTGTGGCCAGCCTAAGGCACACCTGTGCAATAATCATGCTGTCTAATCAGCATCTTGATATGCCACACCTGTGAGGTGGGATGGATTATCTCGGCAAAGGAGAAGTGCTCAAGTCACTATCACAGATTTTTTCAGATTTGTGAACAATATTTGAGAGAAATGGTTATTTTGTGTATATAGAAAATGTTTTAGATCTTTGAGTTCATCTCATGAAAAATGGGAGCAAAAACAAAAGTGTTGCGTTTATATTTTTGTTCAGTGTATGTATTACAGGGGGAATCAACCAGTTTGACTTGTTATTAAAAACAAATATGCAAATGTTAATAAGAGAGTGTATGTTGTAGTACATGTATAGTTTGTTTGGTTTATGATTTTTACTGTGTTATCTAATTGGGAGGAATGACTTTGGATTGGATAAGGCGTATGCTATCATTCTCAGTGTGTGCCAGTTGTTGTAACAGATGTGCTCTCTTTTTTGCTTTTTCAGACGTTCAACTTTTGTGATAACAACAAAAATCTTCTGGGGTGGAAAGTAAGTTTCTTCTGGCTGCGGCTTTGACTCAAATGTGAAACGATCCTCCTGTATTATTTTTTTTCTGGTTGATGCTCCTGGTAACGGGATCATGTTTCATCCAAACTAATCTGTTTTCCGGTTCTTTTGCTAATATTATGTCATCGCAGAGGGGGCAGGTCCAGTCATATTGAAAGTAATTGTTTGTATTTCTTTTTTTCTTTAGAGCGGAGACTGAAAGAGGTTTATCTCGAAAACACATTATAGAAGGTAAGTAGCAGCGCCACAGGTTGTTGTGTTAAATGCTGACACTGCAACAAAAAAAACGTCTTAATTCGATATTTTTGGCTTAACCCTCCTATTAACACAAAAACCATTAATCATCACCAAATGTCATTGAACACCCTTTCAAACTGTAAATATTGTATCAGACTACATGAACAACTGCAGTAAATATACAAAGAATAGACACTGAACATGTATTGTGTGTGCCAGGTGTGATTCACATGGGGGGATTGGGCACATAAGAGGGGAGGGGGGACACATCTAGAGTATGAGTGGGTGTTTGTGTGTGTGTTTATCTGATCCGGATGGTTTCTAATTCCTTTTCTTTATGACCGGGAACACCATGGGTGTTACAAAGTTAACTAAATCATCCAAAATGCAATGAAAGTGGTGATCAGCAATTTCAAATGTTCAAATGTCTTCTGTGAAGGATATCATAAAGCCTTAATCCAATCGAATGTAAAACTAAAAAGTTATGATTGATGAAAGTAGTAAATCAGTCAGATTTGACCCGAAGACAACAATTTTTAACAAAACTTTTTCATTCCACTAATGATTAAAGAAACACCTCCTTTATTTGTTTTTCAGTATATTGGTTTAATTTTGTATGAAGAACATAATAATGTGGCACAGCAGAGGTTCAATACCACTTTACTAACAATGTTGCTTATTTCCAGGTTTAAAAGCCTCTCTAGAAAGACTGCAGCTAGAATATGTGGATGTGGTTTTTGCAAACAGACCGGACCCTAACACACCTATGGAAGGTAATGTTTCTATTGTCTCTACTTTATCCTTAATGGTTTTGAATAATCACATGTTTTGTTTCCATTCCCGCAAACATGTTTCCTTAATTTTGTAAATATGCAAATTAAAATAAATCCCCTCTTTTCTGTCTCTATGACTACTGCAATGCAAAAACTCACAAACCTCTTGTAATTGAAATATCTATTTTTAAATGCTGCATGTTGTCCTGGTGCATCCTCCTCCACACTGTCAGAATGAGTGTAGATACTGATGCTGCAGACCTTTAAATGGCAGAGTGCTAACTATGCGTGGGCTCAGCTGGTCACACAGGATGCATTTGCTCCTGAGTCAGAGTTCCCCCTTCGGGTTACAGAGATCGGTCAGAGGTCGTCTTCCTGCCTCCACTTTGATGCTTCACTGGTCTCGACTCCTTCGCCATACTTCAGTGTCTGATTAGTCAGAAGTAGTTGGTGTTGTTTGATTTAAAAGTCAAGACAATTATTTTGCTCAGCTGCCCTTTAAAGATTGCCCACAATTTGCATTGACAGCTTTGCATCCATTTCTTTAAAACCACAGTTGTTGGACCATCTGGTGAGTTTTATTCTGGCAGAAGCTAAAGGGTAGTGTGTGCGGGGTGAAGAAGTGGTGACCTGCTGTTCTGTCAGTTTACAGAGAAACCCTCTGAAGCCAAGCGCCCACTAGATGAAAGCAGGGCTGATCGGGTTGTCAGAGAGACTTTTAGAAACACTGCATCAGCAAGGTGAACAGATGGATGGGTGGAAGGTTATTTAGGGACTTCATTATTACATTCTGGTGCTCCTGTGGGAAATCTCTTCTTGTTATCATACATGCTTCGTGTTTTTTCTTGACACTCTAACCGATAAGAAGACGGAAATTAAAGTCAAGTTATGTGATGTTTCATTTGCTGTCTCACAAGCTCAGATTTGGCTGTAAAATGAAATTCCTATCTGATGTCCTCAAATAAAATATAGTGTGAGTGAAAGGGAAAACATCAGAATATGTGAAACATTCATTCAGCACAAAACTTCACACACTTCATGAACACGCCCTGTCAATGAACCATCTTACCATCATCGTCCTCATTATTTCACTGGGCTCCTCTTCTGTAGCCCTGTAGCGTGATGCAGATAACAAATATCTTTCTACAATAATGCCATTCAAGTGTGCCGTGTTATGAATAGCTGTCATCCTCATCTGAATAAATTGCTCACCATTCTGATTAACATAATCGGTCTCCTATTTCTCTCCTGAATGGCAGAGCCAATTTGGATTGCAAATGATATCAAATACACACATTATAATATTACAGAACAAGTGGCTCAGATAGACATTCAGCAGGCTCTCAGGACATTGTCTGATTCATATTTTTGAGAAGGAGAGCAGGGAAAATGCATTTCTACAAACACAACAGTGCGACTGATGGTGCATTGATGGTGTTGTTTACATGTTTGTATGTTTTTACTAACAGAAACGGTTCGAGCAATGACCCATGTGATAAACCAGGGCATGTCCATGTACTGGGGAACCTCCCGCTGGAGCCCGATGGAGATAATGGTGAGACGTGGTGTGGACAAAGATCCAATATAATCAGGGATACTCGGGGCAGATTATAATTCCAAACATACCCTGACCTTGCTGTGTCCTACCTGTTCCTGATGTTCAATCTTTAAAGTATATGAGCTTAATTGTTCCTTTTTCCTTTAGGAAGCGTATTCTGTGGCGAGACAATTCAACCAGATTCCTCCCATCTGTGAGCAGGCTGAGTACCATATGTTCCAGAGAGAGAAGGTGGAGGTGCAGCTACCTGAGCTCTTCCATAAGATAGGTGAGCAGGAGTAGACTTTGGCTGAGAGCTTCCAGATGTCAGGTGACACAAATTGTCCAAAAAGAATACAGAGTCTTAAATGCCAATTTGCACTGAAGAAAGTCCTAGTGTCTTGACGATCACATGTCTGTCTTCTCAGGGGTGGGGGCCATGACGTGGTCGCCCCTGGCCTGTGGGATCATCTCAGGGAAATATGACGGCAGGGTGCCTCCCTACTCACGGGCCTCTCTGAAGGTAGACAAATGTCGCTGGATGTTTTTGTGTGTGTTTCCCGCTCGGATCGTCTGCGCTGGTGTCACTGTTCTGCCTCTCCCACTGTTCTGTTTGCTTATTGTGTGTGTTGTGTCTTTCAGGTTCTGTAACTCTGTGCACTCTCTCATGTCTCTGTGTTTTCAGTGCCATGGTTGACGCCATGCACTCTGCATCTCTCCCGAGCAGTGCTGTTCATCACCGCTACACGCACAATACATGAGATAAACACACAACATGTAGTATGACAAAACAGGTCCATAATATTTTAAAGGACACGTGTCATGCTCTTCCGGTTATTACCCGTCCCCTTGTGTGTCATGAAGGTTTTTATGCATGTAAACGGTCTGCAGAGTCAAAACCCTCAAAGTACACCCTGTAGCGAGTCAGCGAGTTTGTTTTCAATCTGAGACTATGTATGCAAGCATTTGTTTTGTATCTAGAATTGAATAATTGAATAGGTAGATGAATCATGAAGCAATTCCTGTTATTCCAAGCAACTCCAATTTTTTTTTTTTTTAGACCTTTCAAGCACAAAGGAACCTTACAATGAGAAGAGAACCGGTTCTAATGATTTCATTCAGTTTACACAGACCGAGCAGAACATTTGACTTTATAGTGACACATTTTGCTTTAGAAATACAAAAATACAAAAACTACATTTTGAGATCCAGAATTTAAAAAGTAGTAGATTCATTCTTGAGTCAGAGACAACTTCTCCTCCAACAAACTGACTCAATGCAACGATGTGTGTGTGTGTGCTGGATGTTGTGTATCTGTAGCTTGTGTGTCGGTGACTGTCGAGTAGAGGTAGTAGTTCTCCCTGTTGGTGTTGTGTAGTACTTTTGGTGACTTGTGTGGAATGTGCATTCTCCTGTCTGGTTCAGTGTTGTGGTTTGTGGTATTTTGGCTCTTTGATTATTCTAAGTGGCTAATCATATTCTAATAATGGTATCATTTCTGATCCTTGTTTCTCTTTTTGAATATAATACTGTTTTGACTCATTGGATTGATTTTTTAGTAAATAACAGTATTAGTCCGTTACATTTTTTACTCTAATACTTTGTAATTGTAAGTAATCATAGCTCTAGGTGTGTTTCCCTGACTGAGGCTCAGATAGCGTGAGACAGAGTCACATGTTTAAAAACAGGCCCTGGTGACACAGCGGTGTGTGAGCAGGGCTGTGTTTTTGAGCAGGTGTGCTGTGTTTTCAACAGGGTTACCAGTGGTTGAAGGACAAGATCTTGAGCGAGGAGGGCCGGCGTCAGCAGGCGAAGTTGAAAGAGCTGCAGGCAATCGCGGAGCGGCTGGGCTGCACTCTGCCCCAACTCGCCATCGGTACGCAGATACACTCTGCTGCTCTCTCTCTTTCTGTCTGTCTGTCCGTCCCTCTGCCTCGGGCGGGCCGAGGTCAACGCCTCTCTGGCAGATGTCTGGTTTGTTTGTTTGTTGCTGTGTCGTCACGTATGTGTGTGTGTGTGTGTGTGACGAAACAGCTTTAAAAGCATTTTTTTTAAAACAGGCGTAAATGAGAAAAAGTGAATATGAAGGAAATTAAGAACGAGCACATTAAAAGGTAACTCAACTTAAATTCATCTTTAAATGTCTGTGTCTGCCAGCGACACATTTCCACAATTCATTCAGTATCTCTTACTAAACAAGAATCCCTCTCCCTTGAATGCATAAGACAGTAATGTTGATGTCAACATAAGGAATGCCAACATGTTTACAGTATACATTTGCAGATCTGTGGTGTTAACAAGTGTTTAACAGTCTACAGTGTTAGCATTAAAATAACAACCCAGACATAAATCCAGCCAGTGGCCGGCCGATATGGATTCACTGCCCGGCAGGAAAATGAGAATGTGCAAACCCTCGAAGACGTTGACTCCTTGGAGGGCTGTTAAAGCGCCAGGCGTCAGCGTCTCAGGAAAGTAAATCTGGGACTTCCTCTCCTATCTCTGCACAGATCACGGCACATTTTTCACCCTCGCAGTAATGCAGTGTCATAGATTAGGTTACACAGGCCATTAGCAGTCACCCTCATCTCCTCAGCCAGCATAAATCCTTCCAGCGCTCCTGAAGGCACCACAGGAGATTTATGTCCATCATGTCGTCCTCTAGATCAGGGGTTCCCAAACCTTTGAGCCCGCGACCCCGCGGGGGTGGTGTTAGTGAAATAATTTCAGAAAGAAAAAAGAAAAAGTTTGAGAAACACTTCGCTAGTGGATTGTCAAAGAAAAAAATGTCTATGCAAACGTTATTATTAATAATAATTAAAAAAATCTATATAAAAAAAAAAAATTATTTTTTATTTTCCATTTTTATTTTGTAATCATCTCGCGACCCCCACTTTGGGAACCCCTGCTCTAGATCACTGTGGCACTCCAGTATTGAGTAAAACTATGTAACAATGATGGACTCCTTCCTGCCTCGGCTTCATACTGAGGCCTGGTGCTGCTGGATCAGGAGAATCAGGTGGTAATTAGTTACCATTAGTACTAGATGTTGTGAGATGTTATCTGAGACCTGAGGGAAGTTCAAGGCTCGATCTCCAAGTGTCATCTTTGGCCAGATTTTCACGCTGGTTGAGGATTTGCGTAGAATTTATAATTCCACTATTTTGACAGCTAAATTCTTCATCCCTTTTTCCTGTAATCTTCTTATAAGCCTATTTTTCAGAGCTGTCGTTTTGCTTAATACAGATCCCAATAATAATCACACCAAACACAGAGGAGGTTTTTGTGTCAGTTCTTCCTGAGAGATCACAATATGGCGTGTATACTATGCAAAATATAAACAGTATATATAATAGGAAGTTAGCTTCCTTTCAACCATCTGAAACAATAAAATGCTGCCATCACATGTTAATCCATAATAATCAAATATTATATTGTACATCAGAACATTTGGTTGATAGCACGTTTGCCTTTAAGAGTAGGGGAGATTTTCTTGTAGTGGAGGGGTGTGTTTTTCTACTGTGATATGTAAAGGCTGTGTGATGTGAGTGCAGAGTTTGCTGACAGTTTTATACGATATTTAATTTGCCAACAGGAAGCCTTTTATGTTCCTTTAAACTGGTGTATGTTGTGTAAATATGATTGTGTGACGCTGTGGGAGAGTGTGATTTGTACAAAGCGGTGGTTTTGGATGTCATTGCTGTTTACTGGTCCCCTGCAGCGTGGTGCCTACGGAATGAGGGGGTGAGCTGCGTCCTTTTAGGGGCGTCCAGCACCGAACAGCTGATGGAGAACATAGGAGCGATACAGGTGAGGCTACACACGCAAGTGAGATGGTAAACATGTTTGTTTTCTGAAAATCAGCTGCTGAGTTTGTGGGGAAACGTGACCTGACCCGTTTCATAAGGCCCTATTCGTGGCGTACAGTCTGCAGCAGCAGCTTCCTCTCCCGGGTACGGCTCGGCCTCCTGGGCTGTGTGCTGCTGCACGCTTGGGTGCTCTACTGTACCGAGTTAATAAGGTCAGCCGAGTATCATTTTCCAGGGAGATTGGAGGCGAGCTTACGGCCACTTCTTCCTCTCCTGATCAAATGCACTCTTTTAATGGGTTTTTCAGACCGGTGGAGCTTCACATCTTGTCCTCACATTATGTCTGGCCTGCAGCCAAAAGCATTCTTACTCTTTTATATTCTGGTGTGTGTGTGTGTGTGTGTGTGTGTGTGTGTGTGTGTGTGTGTGTGTGTGTGTGTGTGTGTGTGTGTGTGTGTGTGTGTGTGTGTGTGTGTGTGCTATAGGTTGTCTCTCCATCAGCACATTTGATATTTTGCTTTTGAAATGCTATGCTCACATTTCCCCAGGGCTCTGCAGGTTCCTTTTAACAGGGTATTTTTCCTCAAACACGCTGACATTGCAACACAGTCCATGTTTAATCAAATGCAAATAAAATGCCTTTATTGAAACTTATTTTATTATTGCACTATAGCTAGAAAACAAAGTATTTTCAACAAAGGATTTGTTTTCATTTAGTAGATCAATGGGAAATTAAACTATTTAAAATGTATTTATGTAAATTAACTTACGCTAAAATATTCCTGAGCATGCTGCTGTGTAATGAGTACTTTTACTGCGATAATTGTGGTACATTCTGCTGAGGTTCCTTAAATTCCACATTTGAAAAGGGGGCTTTTCTGCAGATCAGCATAACAAATGTTTAATCCTTTTCCTAGTTTTTTGTTTTCTTTATTGGAAGTTACGATCTGGAAGTTGCAGTGCACTAGACAGCCCAATTTAGGCGGCAACTACAAGAAATGAAAGTCATCATTCAGTGCTATCTAGAGGCTGTGACACGCAACTGCAGGCAATTTCAGATGATTTTCTCTGTGAAACAATGTCCACCACCTCTGACAGTTCATTTTGCAAAATACATATATAACATTTGTGTCTATCCCCCGTTGCAGGTTCTTCCGAAGTTGTCATCGTCCATCACACACGAGGTGGACAGCATCCTGGGGAACAAGCCGTACAGTAAAAAGGACTACCGCTCCTAACGCGCAGTGCCCTCCCCCCCCCCGGCAGGGCTGCACGGGATGCAGCTACAGCGCCCCACGTTTGTCTGATCCTCTCTTTGCTTGAGCTTTTACTGAGTGAGACCCTGGTGCATGAGGCTGGCCACACCAAGGCCACCCAGGGCGCCTCTAGAGAGTTACAAGGATAAGATAAGAAAAGGGGGGGGGAGAATACTGTCACATCCACAGGAAAGGAAGAAAGACAAAGTGGAGGTTAGGGGTATGCGCTCATACTTAAATCAGTTATACATTCAATTCAGCTGAACGTATTTTAAAACCTTAAAGAAAAATACCTATTAAAAAAAAAAAGCACACGCTTGCTTGGCAGCCAGATTTATTTTTTGTTCTAAAACTGAATGCAACTAAAAGGAAGATAAAGTTAATAGGAATATACCAGAACTACTCTGTTGCACATGTACCATAGCCATGCATTTGTTCCTTGGACGTTCTGATTACAAAACACCCGTGTACTGTACAGTTGGTCAAGGTTACTCTGAAAAATCTTTTGTGTGTGTTGTCGACGTTGTCAGTGTACGAGCCTTCCCATGGGCTTTAACAATCAGCACTTTAGTATTGTCAGTATAGGTGTTGGAGGTGGATGGATGTTCTCAGGAGGGGAGAGGATGCGTATAACAATAGTCTTATCTCAGAGCCATTGCACTATAGATTCATCTCCTCCTGATAATCCACTCTCCTCCTCATCCTCCCTTTGTGTCTTTACTGTCGGTACGTCGGTCCAGCCCGATGCTCCGACTCTCCTGCTGTCTGAGTGTGTCGGCGGCGGCCTAGATGAGGAGGGGGAATGAGGCCCCTCCTCCGACTTTACCTGTGAAACGTCTGTGACGACGAGTCGGAGCACCTTGTCTGCCACTAAAGAAGAGATTAGCTTTTCGTTCATCCCTATCAGTAGAAACTGCAGTCGCGTTAAATCGAATGCAGCGTCGTGCTTCACTGTGTCCTCTGGAATCTGTTCTCTGTTTTCAGCCTGAGGATTTACTGTGTAGGAAGAGGTCATATATCAGTGCTGGCTCCACATCTCATGGAAACTTCTCCTTGACCACATTTTGCTCAAGTGTTTTTGCCTTATTTACAGTTATATCCAGACTCTGCTCTGGGCTCTGGCGTGCAAACAGCTGCCCTTTCATGTCCCCAGTAAATACTGTACGCTGACTGGTGGTGGTGGCATTAGTTGGAGGCGGCGGTGGAGTGTCCGGTGAATCAGTGCGTGGCAGCGGCTCAGGGAACAGAGCAGGCGGTTTTAGACGTGTGTTGGCATGCACATGGTCAGGAGGTTGTATTTACTCGTCCGTCTTTCTTTCTCGTTCAGACACTAGGCAGGACCGGTGAACATTTTGCGTGGCTTGATCCAAAGATCGTCCTCTTATTCTTCTTCATCTCTCTTTGATGACACCCGAGGGTTTCACACTCACTTCCTGCAAGATTATAAAAGTCATCTTGGCGCATGTGCTGTCCAGCTTGTTATCTATCAACGGTATGGACTTGACTCCATATAAATATATATATTTACTTGATCACACTGTTATACTACAGTAGTTAACAAATATGTCCTTCATATACAGAATGCATAAGTACAGCTAACTGCTTTAGGATTGGTAAGGTTTGTTTCAGACAACCTGAGATGTGTCAGACATATTATTGCAGATTTTGACACGGCCCTATATCATTGTTTCTCCTTTGGGTGCTCTCTTACTGTGATTAAAGCACAAGTGGATAGCATGTTAACATCCTCAAAGCATGACCCCTGTTTCACCCAGCCTACAGCACCTACGGGACAAGTGAGGTGATGTTACTCCGCTTACTAAAGACGTTTAGGTAACACATCTTAACTAACTGCTGATTAATATTGATTCTTAGCAGAAAAAATAAACACATGAAGAAAACGGTCATTTAAATGCAAATGATGACTTGAATGAAGTGGAAGTTATTGTGCAGGATTTGTGCGGACGAGGTCTGCTCCTCGAGTCCTCCTAGGTGATTTTCAACAGCAACAATGTGATGTCTCTGCTGTTGATCCTGTTTGTTTGTACGGGGGGGGGGGGGGGGAGCAACTACACTTATCCCTTGCTTTAGCCTGTTGTATTAGTTGATCCTCGTATAAGTTTGATTTGCTGTGTCTGAGTGTTTTCTCAAAAGAAGAAAAAAAAGAACTTTTAGTTAATTTAGTCTGTGGAGTTCCTGTGTCTTAGTACCTTTAACTGCAGGGAGCTGGGAGGACGTCCTGAGACTTCAAGTTCGGCATTATGAGAAATACGCTTATTTATGCTCTTACGTTCAAAGAAAAAAATGTTGACACCATATTTATATCTGTCTACTGAATATCCTTACAGCTAGCAGCAGACTATATAGCTTAGCATTAAGTCTGAAAACACAAACAGCTAGTCCGACCACCTCTCTACCTACCAGCTACTCTAAAGCTCAATAATCAACTTAACATATCTCATTTTAAAGGTAGGGGAAACCAACCTCAAAAACACCGCAATAAAATAACAAAATGATATATTTTACAGATTTAGCACGACATATCTTAACTACAACACTTGAGAGGAGCTGGTAGGCAGACTGTATACAGGCTATGCTAGCTGTATTTCCTGTTCCCAGTTCTTTATGCTAAGCTAAGTTTGCTGGCTGTAGCATCATATCTACTGTACAGATGTGTGATATCAGTTGACTCCAACTAACATAGAAAACCAATTAGTGCATTTCCTAAAATGTCAAACTTTCCCTTTAAATGGTATCGCTGTGCATTTAGTTTGACCATCAGTGTTATTTCACATCGTGCTGACCTGCCCAACAAAGATCTCTTGGTGTAAAAGGTTTCTGCACATTGTAGAAATAACTCTTTAATGTTTAAGGCTAAAGTGTTGTTAGCTGGTGCCCTCGCCTGTGTAGGAGAAATTCATGCTTTAAGAGGTCCTAGTTTCTGCATATTTGCTGTTCTAAAATGTTAATGACTAGATCAGAAATGAAACCAGCCCCCCAGATGAACAGAGCTTATTTTACAGAAGGTTTTAGGTTATACAGAGAATATATTTTTTATTTTGTAGCCTTTAATGCAGTAGAGAGCATCGGAAAACCATTTTTATTTTTTTTTCATGATGCTGCATTTTTCCTATCAGTATTGCATTGGTTTAAGACTGACAAAAAGATGCAATTTCTTTGTGTTGTGTATGAGGAATGCTCTGAAGTGAATGCATTGTCGGACTGAATTCACTCTGAAAATGACGTAGTGAGAGCCTGGTATCTCCTGTACATAGTTTGACCTTTGTATATATTTCTGGTTGTGATCACCTCTGCCTTTTCTCTTTTCTTTTTTTTTCTTTTGCAGGCGTTGCTATAGCTGCACTGTGCTTGAATTTGAATTTAGACAGGATGTACAGCTTCGATCTTCAATGAAAATGAAATAATGATAAAATAAGAATGGTAAACAAACATCTGTGTGTCTTTATTGGTGTAAAATATTCTGGGTGTGAATTTGGTAAAGCTGCAAAGTCACTTTTATCCATTGGAAACCAAACAATGCATTTTTGACTTGCGGTATATTTAATTGTATACAACTATGAGAAATATAAATATGAAGCAATTTATACTCAACGCCAAATAAGGTGCATATAAATGTGTAATCCTTAGTGACTCTGTAAAATTCCAGCTGTGTCAAGGCATATTTAGGAATGTGCTCCCTTTTGATATTAAACGGTAAAGGTCTGAATATCAATATAGTCTTTGTTGCACTGTAGCAACATAGCACCATTGGACTGAGGTTATACTTCATATTGTATAGATTAAAGACACAACATCATAGTGGTGGTATGTCATGACATCTTAAACTGCCTCAGGTTGCCTCATATCCAGCAATCTCCTTAAAAAATAATATTTTATACACAGTACCTGCAAAAGGTATTTCAAGGACAAAATATAAACACAAAATACCAAAATTGCAGTAAACGCAACCATAATCTCCTGTCACGGCACCCTACGGATAAAGTCATTGAGGATTTTAATCCTGAAGACTAAAAGTGCGTTCGTTCCACTTTGACCTCAAGAGAATTCACACAGTACCTTCTTTGGCAGGTCAGGCTGACAGCTCAAATGACACTTTGGCACCCAAAAATAAAAATCATCCAGCTCGGGTCCAAACAGGAAACTGCAGTTCTCATCAGAGAGTCTATTTCCCTGTAGGTCTTCCAGCTGCCTGCCACAAGTCTCCACTCACTCGAGTCACTTCAGTAAAACATGGTGGATCTGTCCTCGTTGTAGGCTTGCAGTCAGGTGCTATAACGAGTTTTCGTGCTGCGTGTCTCCTCTGCTGCTGTTTCCGTAGTTGAGACTTGGAGGTCCACCTGAGGAAACGCACACATTCATATTTGATCAGAACAAACACGACACAAAGTGCAGCGCAGCAGGAACGTATCGCTGTCAGCACTTTAGTTATTTACTCTTATTTCACCAAGTCAGCTAAATATCACTTCTGTCCTGACTCATGGGTCAGCAAAGCACCTGCCGTCAATGTGGATGCAATGGAGAGTACAATAACAGATAAGACAGCAGGAGTGTGTGTCAGTCCGGATGGTTAGTCATTATCCTACCTTCTCTACAGGACAGCCCAATCCAGCCGTGCAGGCAGGAGCAGCGGCCGCTACGCCGGTCGCACTGCGAGCTGTTGTGACACTCGCAGGTCTCTGCACAGTCAGGCCCGTAGTGGTTCGCTCTGCAGTCTGACACAAGACGTAAACACAAAGCTTAATACAAATACACAAAAAGGTAGATGTCATAATGTTTGATTTTTTGGGAAATAATCATTTTCCCTCTCCGGAAGAAGGATGAGAATATTGACAACGCTGTCAAACTACTGTTATGGTAAATGGAGAGTACTTATATAGTGTTTCCGACCCCTCAAAGTGTTTACATACTACGAGTCATTCACCCATTCACACCTCATTAACACAGAGCAGTATCACTTGCTCTAGGGAAGATAACATTCATACATGTTGCCTATGCCATCGGGAGCATCTAAGTATCTTGCCCAAGGATACATTAACATGTTGACTGCACGGGCTGAAATAAAACCCACAACCTTCTGGATCAAAGACGACCGCACTCCCTCGCAGCCACAGTTTTATCCTTTAAAATGGTTGGCCAAACGCCAATATGCTAAAGAACAGATGATTAAATGCATTGATTTTCTCCAATAAAACATGCTTTATCAACCCACCTCTTTCAAACTCATTAATGGATAACTGACACATTTCAAAGTCAATCTAAGGTTAGCCTTAACAAAAATGTATTTTAACCAAATGTTATCTATTTACACAAAATGAATCCTATGTCTTTGATACCAGAGAAACACACCTAAAAGGTATAATTCCTGGGTTAACATCCTCCAAGATTGAACTATAAAATTAAACAAAAAAAATAAGATACTTTGTTCTTCACAACCAATTGTAAATCTCCCCCTGGTCTAAATGAATCAATGTATTTGGTTTACTTGCACTGCTATATAGTATAAATTGAGATTTAGTTAGATTCTGTATTTCACTATCATTTGATTAAACGATAATTACGTCTAAAAAAAAACAGAACATTGCTAGAACATTACCGATGTCACATCTGAGTCCGGTCCTCCCGGAGGAGCAGAGGCATCTTCCTGTCACGTGATCACAGGGAGCGTCGTCTTCACAGTCGCACAGCTTGGCACAGCCAGGACCGTACGTGCCCTGCTCACACACTGAGGAACAAACAGAGGACATTAGGCGGAGAATTCCCCTCGATCCTGGTATTATTCTGTGGTGATCAGCTGTGATGTGACTTACCTCTGTGACAGCGAGCTCCGCGGGATCCTGCAGGACAGACGCAGTGTCCCGACGCTGGGTGACAGGAGGCTCCGTTCACACAGTCACACTGCAGCTGACACAGAGGGCCGTGGAGACCGGGAGGACAGGCTGAGGGCGAGGGGTTAGCAGGATGTGATTTCAGGACGACCTTTATGGTTTTAATTGTTCTTATTGGATTAATAATTTAGTCTAAAATAGGGTTCCCACACCTTCATAAACATACCATTTAAGGACTTACCATGCCAATGTAAGGACCCAACATAGTATAGTTTAGGACACTGATCAAGGTTAATCACTGTTATAAGACTGAGACAATTTATATTTAGAACTAACTGAATTTACACAAGTGCACAGTCAACAATTAAAAAGAAAGAGATTGAAAATGTTTAAATTAAATTAAAAAAACAAAGTGTGAATTTGTTGTTTGACAGAGACAGACAGACAACTCTTACAATTTACAAATATTGGTCAGTTAACAGTTTTGTTCTTTATAAAACATTAATGATGCTTGTGTTTCTGTTTGTGTGAGTTTTTCCCTTCAGTTCTCACCGTGTTCACACAGAGGTCCATAGAAGCCCGGACCACATTGACACATCCCCGTCACTTTGTCACAAGTAGCTTTATTTTGACAGTCACATTTCAGCTGGCAGTTGGCACCAAATCTGCCCGCAGGACATTCTGGGAAGCAAAAACACAAGGACACATAAGAAAAAGAAACAAAATGAATTTACATTAGTGACTTATTTTGGATTGAGCATGCTAGAACAAATCATAAATGACATTCATGAGATCCAGACACAAGAAATATAGTAATGTGTGTGTCACCTTTATCACAGTTAGAGCCAGTCCAGCCCAGGCCGCAGGTACAGTTTCCGGTCACAGAGTCACACACCCCACCGTTGCTACAGTTACAGCGTCGGACACAGTCCAATCCAAACCAGCCTGGAGAGCAGCCTGAGGAGGAAACACACCGTCAAACTAAACCGCAGAAAACATCGGGCTTTCTTATCAAAACAGACAAACTCAAAACAGGTTCAGAATAGTTGTTTTCCCTCATTAAAAACACTTCCTGTTGTTGTCAGTAACTTTAACTGTACCAGCACATGCCAGAAGACTGTTTTCTTCAGAAGGAGCCATTTGCTGCTATTCATTTTTGTACAGTAAGAAAAACAACTTGTACAGGCATGAAAATTGCCCAACCTACATCCTCCATC